AAACTTACAAACAATATAAAATCTTCTTTCTTGTTTGGAACTCCTTTGATATCTTATCGAGGGTTTATGATGAGCGAGTTAATTTCAAGTCAATGTAGATATGATTCACCGGGAAGCTAGCTAGCTTGCCACACACACCGAATTGTTGTTCCGTTGAAGTTACGTAATGTTTTCGTAAAAATACTAATGTCCAATGAGAATCCACTGAAGTTAAACGATTTGTAATGTTCGAAATTTATAAATATTCCTGATCAAATATCTTAAGTTTTCCGATTAATAAACATTATAAAAATGTTATAGCTTTCGAAGCTTATAGCACACTGATTATAGTGAACTACTAATAGACACTCTCTTTGGTGTGGCAAGTTGGTTGTATTTATAAGCGTGGGAAGGTTTTCTAGAAAATTCAGATTACATAACAATACTGAGCTATATTTAAACGTTTACGTATATAGATATATTGTTGATTCTTACTTTCCAGAATCTTCTACATCTTTGGAGAATAGGCGGAAGTTTCGCAATACATTTCTAACACTATAAGCTAGGCATGTTTTTAAATACTAACTCAATCCAAACAAACGTTGACATTGAAATAAATATATAACAACAAATACATTACAATCTTCCACAGGTAATTCAGGCTCCACAAAAGGCAATGAAACAGAAAAACAAGGGACCAGAACAGAAGAAGAAGTAAGCAGAAGGGAACCAACCACCTGATGCACAATAGCAACAACTTCATAATAATATGCTTACAAAAGCCACTGATGCAGGTACAGAATAGTCCTGAAAAGGACATCTGAGCTTCTGGAACATAAAAGCAACATATATTTGAGAATTCATAGTAAATCACCAATCCATGATGATTTGTTTAATTGTACTTTTTTAATACAATAGAAAGAAGAAACATGGTGGCTATAGAAAAAAAACAAAGTTACAATGAGGTGGATGGAACAAAAATGCAACAAGAATAAAGGTAACATCAAAATAAATATAAAAAGCAGTTTATCAAAGTGATGGAAAACTATAAGCACAGAAAAAAAATGACAATTGACCACAAGCAATGCCAAGGAAAGAATGTACCTATAATCAATGCAGACACGTATAAGGGTGGTAGAGTTCAAGGCAGTTGCGCACAAGGTAATAGCTCTTAGTGGTGCACAGAGCTAAATAATATTTCTAAAATGAAGATTGAGAATTTTTGAAAGTAAGAAGTTAAAACCTTGGATAATATAAAAATTTGAATTATAAACTATGTTATCATGACAAGTTTCATTAAATTTTGAATGTAACTGTAACAGGTTGTAACATGTGCAAAAGAGTCATGCCTGAATGCGGAGGATTAAATAGAATCTGAATTCAGAGTAGACCCAATTACGAGCATTTTATTGAAAGAGGATTTTACTGGGTTTTTCTTCTTAATAAGATACAAGTCAAATCTAGAATAGTACCAACAAAACATTGCACCGTCTAGTTATATATTGGAATAAATACTCGAAAGAAGATATTAAATAGTCTGTAACATACACATAAAACTTTAAGACAACTAATGGAAGAATATTAAGTATTCAGGCAGCATAGCAAGACAACTCCAGTAACACACAAGTTTCTGCATTATCAAATCAATGACTTATGTACAGCATTTAATTCATTCAAATTTCTGTAATTATATGTGAAAAAGTTAAAATTTTTCAACAAACTAAATAAATTTTTAATGAAGCAATCGTTTTTGTTATTTTTGTGTGTTTTCAAGAACATTTTAGTAAGCTGCTCAATAGCTAACTGTAAATATAACAAGATCTCAAACTACTGAAGTATTAAAAGTTATTTATCATGTAGATTTAAGAAGTAGTCACAAAAGATGCAAAACAAGTCACACAATGTATTATAAAACATTTATAGATAAAATCATAAACAAAATTGAAATTTTTATGATCATATGGGTACATTTTAATTCTTTTTGGCACTTTAGCTTAAAATATTTTGTGTTAGCCAATGTAACAATGAAATACAAAGATTAAACAAATCAGTACCAATAACTATAAAACAAAGTATTGCCAATTCTAAGAAAAAACTAAACTAAATGAAGGCAACTCTCACCTAACTTTTTCCCTGTCTGAAGAAGTTATACATGTGGCAAAAGGTACTGGTCGACTCCAGTCCCAAAAGTGAATTTTATTGAATGTTGCTATAACTAAGACTCTATCTAAAGGATGAAATGCTAGTGAAGTGATTACTGTGTTCTGATCTGCCACCCAAACCTCACTTCCTCCCTACAAATGAAAATATATGCTTACATTGAAAAAAAAACAAGGATCAGACACAAAATATTTCTCTTGTAACCAAAATATTCTTTATGATTTTTAAGCTTAGTTTGTTGTGTTAAAGCTATTGACAAAAAACAAGATTATTGTTTCAAAAAATTGTATCTATATATATATATATATATATATAT